AAACAAGTAAAAAGATAAATAAAAATAAAAAAATTGATTAAAAAATTAAATAAAAATAAGAAGAAATAATTGAATAAAAAAAGAAAAAGCAATAAAAATAAAGAAACAGTAAAAAAAAAAAATTGAAACTAGCCCCGCCCAAGGCCAGGTTCCACAATACTCCCCCCCGCCCTGCCATCTGGTTGCCATTCTCAATTGATGAGGAGGGGGGGGCGTATTGTGGAACCTGGCCTTGGGGCGGCGGGGGGAGTAAATCCGGCCCTGCCTGGCTGTGACAACTAATGGATGGGGCCATGTTCATCAAATGTAAAAAAAAAAGTCTCCACACATCTCTCTTCAGGAATGCAGTTGGTTGATTTGTGCTTTGTGAAAGTAACAAAACAAATGCAAGGTTTCGGAACCAAAAAGATTCCTTCATCCAGGCAAAGTGATCAGCTTACTCCCTTTCTACAAACCTATCTAATTTCCCCCCCTTCTTTCGAATATGCATAAATCCCCCCCTTTCTCCTTCAGCAAACCTTCCTTTTTAATGTACCAAGTCTCCCACCCCCTTCCTACTCCTTTGCCTGGTACCCCACACTTCCTTTTCCTGTGCCTGATCAGCCATCACTTCCCTCTTCTTGAATGCTTGCACTACAACCCAGTGCTGGGGCCGCTGACTCCTAAGACAAGGATGCCGAAGTGAGCCCCCTCCTCCCCACACACCCCAAGCTTTTTAAATCAGCTTTTAAGGCCTCCCAAGGATTGTAAACATCTCTGTACTCTGTAAGCTTATCTTACCGCTATAAACTCCTCTCCTCAAGTGGTAAGGCAGGCTTGCCTGGGTTTGTCGAGTCATGGCACAGGGATTCGGGCAAATACATTAAGGAGGATGATTGGGAATTGGCTTTCTTCCACGTGCATAAATCATCAGTCTCAAGTTATACGCAAGAGAAAAACTAAAAAAATATCTCTCGCTGGTACAGAGACCATGTATAGTATTCTCCCACATGTACCAGGCACC